CTTGCACATTAATGCTGATATATTGGCAACAAACCTGAGCACTCAATCCCTTTTACAACATTTTTTTTAAAATTTCAAACAATGACTATGTAGATTTCTTTGATTATGCATGGTAAAAAATATTTACTCTAGAATTTTAACCAGACGGATGAGAAGGTGACATCTTAGGGTATGAGTTAATTTCGATTTTAAAGACTTTTGCATGTTTAAATTTTATAAAAGAATGGTAGAGTTTTTAAATATTTTTGGAAAATTATCACCTAATTGGTGATATTTTATATAATTATTGCCAACTTTCATCAACAAAACTTATGTGGATAGTCATTAAAATCAGACTAATCTGGTCTAAATATTCTTAAACGCTTCAAAAAATGTCTGGATTGAAAAGAGCACCTGCAGCCGTAATCGAAACGTTTGTAATTTGTTCTCTTACAATTTGCCTACATATTGAATACTGAATTATAATGTATTAAATCTACATTGAAAAATCGGTCACAAAACAATTTTGTGCATAAGATTTTCCAGCTGTCAAAACGAAATAGTTGTTCATCTTTTCGTGGTGAAACATAACAATCAATGCCTAGTTTAGTTCTTCCGGTCAAGTTTTTCATTGCTTAAAATGCAAAACTCAGTTTTTAAGATGCCCGTCATGCATTCTAAGTGCGTTACAGGCTATAACTTCATAGCCAATAAATTTTTTTTACGATATGTAAGGTTGCAGAGTTAATTCTGTGTCCTCATAATTGGATTGTGAACGCCAGAGATTGTAAATGTTTTCTGCAGTTTTCAATGGCATCTAAACCTATTACATTTGAGCCAGAACAGCTGCACACTTAGATCTGCGGATTTTCACATACATAACCTGAACACCACCAAGGCTTTTTTAGTCTTTACTGATCGTGGTAAATTAATTAATGACTTCCACAATTATCCACAGTTAAACCAGTTAACGGTCACGTCAGCTCCTACAAGTGTTCTTTCGGGAAAATATCAAAGTAACCGTAGGTAACCGAAACCAACGCATGAATTCACCGTTTTTAGGCAAGTGACTAATTCTGAAGGACTGAGGAAAAATCAAACTGCAAGCGACGCCTCAGTTGTGCAGAGGGAGAAAATGAGTGGGTGGACATTACCGTTAATTCGCAAGCCAGGATGGGCTACATCTTGTTACATTGGTATGTGCGTGAATATATGTAGGGCAGTTGTAGAAAACTTAAAGGTTAATGAGGCTCAGAGAAAGTACAAATTGATGAGAATCTGCGTCAAGTTCAGGAATGCCCAAGCGAAGGCAAATTAGCATTCTACCAGATTTGGCTGCTAATGGATAAAATTACTTTTGTTTTGTTTGTGTGTGTTTACCCATCGGTCGCCTAATAACAGGTATATCAACAACTTTTTTCATATATTATTGTAAAAAATCTGCAGTTAGCCCAGAATATAACTTTGTTCTAATCAGCATTGCAACAAACGAACCGTAGCTACAGCAGTTGGATCGTTGCTTAATGCTTCAGTTTACCATCAGTTTAGTATCTGTGTTGGGTTTTAATTAAACTAGTGCTATTGTTATTCGTAACTGATTTACAATTAGTTATGGTATTATTAGCATGTGTTAGCTTGATATTTAGCTTTTGAGTGATGATTGCGCATCAGCAGCCATTGTTATTTTTTGAAAAGGCCTTTACACTACCAGTTTCATCAGGATCATGTTCCCTATATCCTCTGGGACTGTCTGTAATTTCAGTTTTTAGGATATCATACCTTAAATGAATTAATTTTGCAACTGTATTCAAGGTCAGGAATATTTATCAAGGCCAACTGAACTCCTCTCCCTCAGCCAGAACATTGTAGCAGTGCATTTGTTATGCAATTAATGGCTAAGCTCACTCACGTAGGATATACACTGACGGAGATTCTTTTCAAAAGTGGGCAATGCAACAGATTACGAACAATCGGACAGACAGCGGTTCATTGGAAGTTGAAATAGGGAATTCGATTTAGTAATGCTCAAAACTAGCAGCACTAGGCGGCATAAAGTGGTATAAAAATATTTTGAGTGTGGAGATAATGGCTTGAGAGCCACTTTTGTAGCTGTCTGATACTAGTTACTACAAAACGCAGTTTACATTATGGGGGATAATTATGCTGTAAACCCAGAATTGAATGCTGTTTTTTTGCATTTGTAAATACTGTTATAGAGAACAGTGACGAATGTATAACACTTCACCGCTTGTGCTGAACTTTTGAAAATTTTCCAGTCCCCTGTGCTAACAGTAATTAAACGCTTTGGATCTTATATGGTTGAAAGCATGAAATGCGGCGCTAAAACTACTGCTAAAATGATTAAGTCATAGGGCATGATGCAAGGTTGTTAGATTTTGGATAAAATATATTCCCATTTTTACATTATTTCAAAGAAAGATGCCAACTTTAATTTTTTAAACCACCTCTTGTTCAAGTAAAACCAGATTTGGCAACAGATTTGCGATAAATTTTTTGCCCACAATTTGTTAGTAAAACTTCAACAGACTTACGTTCACTTGCTTAAATAAAATTGCTTAAAAGCAAAGTGCTAGATTAGCACGAGAAATTTAGATAGATCCAATGTTATTTTTAAAAAATTCAAAATGACAACAAAATAATAATAAAAAACACGATTATGCTCTGCAAAAGGCAATTTTTCAGAAATAGGAATCAATAACGCTTTACATGTATATTCGGGGGAACTATATTGTCTGGATATGTTTTAAGACAAAAAGTTTTAAATTGGTTAAATCGACTGGAGCTTTAGTAGGGCGTTGACCTAATCAGAAGAACATCGCAACGTCTCAGGGTTTTTATTTGCCATGCTAGTGATTTAATCAAATCTCTTTGCACAGTCTTTACAGCAATTAATAAAACATTGACTCTAATTGGCTTGTCGTTGTACAGTGAATAAGTTATAACAATCGGAATTCAGAAAATTTCGTGTTGGTACTCAATTTTGCAAAGGGGTAGTGATGAGTAGCAAGCACTCAGCTTGTAAGTACAATAAAAATTGCAACTAAATTATCGTTAGCAAATTATAAAACGACAAATTAAGAAAATTACATTTGTTTAACGGGATATTTCTGACCACACACGAAACAGGTTATGTGCTACGTTTCAAGGTAGCATAAATATTCCTCTACATAGCTCACGTGAAGGTGTCAATAGTTGCTGATGGAATTTTGTTGTTGTAAAAAATGTTTAACATTTCCTAAACACCAAATTCAGCGCCACTATCTGACGAAAGCACTTAGAAGTCGATTAAAATTTTGACTGCTTTATTTCAAACAATAGAAGCCTATTCATTATGCTACATGGTCTGAAGGCTATGCTGCAAATAATACAAATGTACTTCGTTTGACAGGTACTAACAATGGCGGCATTTCGCTTCGATGCTTATAAGTAAACATGTTCATTACTCCAAAGTGCAGGCTGCATCGCGCCTATAAGTCTTATACTTGCCAATTAAAATTTTGATTAACGACAAATTTATGTATTTTGTTCATCAGAAGACGCACACCAAATGTGTTACTTGTTGTATACATTCTTAGACAGGCAAAAAATACGAAATGATTCTGTAAGATCACAGGTTAGTATTTATTTACGCATTTAAATACAGTTGCAACGATTATAAATGCTACCGTTCTTTGTTGGTACTCGTTACATTTGAGAAACTGAGGGATGCTGAAGCGCTTCCTTCTGTAAGTGCGTGGGCGCGCTGGTTGAACTTGTGGCGAGCGATTAAAGTTCTCGATATACATGACAAACAACCAACTGTCGTTGGGGAATTATGAACACTAGGTCTCTCAGAATGCCCTATTTGAAATAGCTTTTACCGATAAGACTCCGGTGAGAGGCTACAGCAGTTCCTGTATCTCGGCGCTTAGCCTGATGTTATACATGTTTATGAATTAACAAGTTGGCAAATAATCTTCTTCAGTTGGAGCTGCAATCTAATTTGCGCCCTAATAATTTTGTCCGTTGAAATGTAACTTTGCTTTATATTTCCAATCAGAAGCTATTAAAAACCTCTTTTACAGTGGCAAGTTGCTAGGTTCAAAAGTTATCCCTGCCATTCAAAATGGATCGTTTTGAATTAGAAACGCACATCAACAGCTCTAGTGCATACCACATGCAACACTTGTAATATCAGAAGGGTTTTTAAGTGCCACTAGAGATATTTGAACAATCCACATGTGACTTTGAGCCCCGAGTTATGATCAAAGATAAATATGAGGTTTAACGACAAAATTGTGTCGCATTGTGTCTTTTTCATGAATATTGAGCATGCCTAAGTGATGACGTGCAAACTCGAGATAGTATGTAGCGAGAGATATTGGTTCAAACAGGTATTTCAAAATGAATATCAATTGCTACGGAGCATGTAGTGTGTGCCAGATTGTTGACTTGGATCATGAATAGATCAAGGTCGAGTTAGGTGCTACAGTGTGTTCTACTTCTTTCAAATTCTAATGCTTGGCCTTTGGTACTGTTAGCCTTATACTGTGCCAGTTGTCCTACTGTAGCAAACACGAGAGGACCTGAACCTTCACAGACAAATAAATAGCAACATCTAGTAATTGTTTCTAAAAACTGGGCTTTAACATTTCCTGGCATCTATTTAAAACAAAGCATTGGTTGTTTTTTACCTGCTCAAAACAAAATTATCAAAAAAGCTCAATAGCACTTATTTTAAAAAGGGAAACAGTAATTGACTCTAAGTGAACATTGAAGGCAAATCTGTTTTACAATGAATGAATTGTTTTTTAATCAGCCTCTGGCTCCTGCTCCCATTATTTTCAAACGCATATTCAGCATAAAAATTTTTTTTAAAAAATAATTGGCCTTACAAAGAGATGTTAATCAGGTTTAGAAAAAAAATGAAAAACTTAATTTAGACATCAAGTTACGTAAAATTTTTACAAATAAGCCCTTACTATATTCACTTTTTTAGATAATACAATTAATTTCGCACAATGAATGCTTCCTCTGGATCAACTAAACCTGGAGAGAATTATCTGCTATTTGAACTGACTAAGTCCGACTGTGAGAACGAATACATACAAAATGATCCCTACAGCGAAATAATTCAGGTGTATAACATTCTTGTGCTCGTACTTGCTCCAGTCAATGTCCTTCTTAATGGTCTCTCTTTGAAGATTTTTGGCCATCGCATTTGGAAGAAGAGTTCCATGAGCTCAATTCTTATGAGTCTTTCTGTTTTTGAAATCTGTTTCGGTTGCAGCCTATTCTTTCATACGATCACTCACAAAATTCTCGAAATTAACCTCAGTGGGGACAGCACGGTATCGGAAAATCTTACAGATGCCAAACGCACCACCCGAATCAAACTGCTGGCCACAACGATCGTGGCAAACCACGTCCTCAGTGGATTCCTGTTTGCCTTTCAGGTGGCCAGAAACTGGTCAGTTGTTCTTCTAGCAGCCTACAGGTATGACGTAATTTGTCGAAAACTCGGCACCATGACTTCATTCCCCAGGGAGAGAATCCCGCTGATAATGTCCATTACGTTAACTTCAGCTGGTCTGTTTGCTCTTCCTCGGATCTTCGAAACAAAAACGTACATTTGTGTGCCGACCGCAGCAATCTACATTGAATTGCCGTTAGTTGCGCAAAACATTTTCTATGAGCTAATTTATCTGGGAATTGGAGCCTTTATTGTTCAGTCTGGAGGGCCGGTTCTTTGCGTCTGCTTATTAAGCTTCTTCGTTATTCGAAAAATTGCGATAAGGCGTCGGTTTCGTCGACAAAACCAACGTGCAGTGTTAGCCACCAATACAAATGATGTCACAAATATCGACTTAGATTTCCACGTGGGAACAAAAACTATTGAACGGGCTCAGCCTTCTGGCGACAAATTGATGTTGGCGCTATCTTTTACGTTTTTTGTTCTCGAAACCCCTGCCTTCTTCAGCAAAATCCTCAGCTCTTACACCTCAAAGTATCATCCGCAGTTGGACGTGTATTTCTCTGTGATTGCCAACCTTTTGATTTACCTTGATTCAACCTTCAATGCTTTCATCTACATGGGCTCGAACCCAACCTTCAGACAAGTGGCCAAGCTCACGTTCGGGAAGAGTCGACTCACCGAGCAGGGGAAGCGGTACATGAAACGCAAACGGCTGTCGCCTCCCCTCATCGACCAGATTCAAAATAATTTCCCCGTACCAAATGAAAACGAGGCTGAAAGGTGTCAAACAGAACAAGTTTAGAGTATTCGGACTGTTATACGATTGGGGTTCGACGCCGTTCACTCGCCTCCTCGGCTCGTGAAGGGTGGCAACTTTCCAGCAAATCTAACCAATGAAAACGAGAACTCCAAATGTGTATTGCGATTATCCCAGGGGATCAATGCACAACTACCATTGTTTGACAATACCCATTCCAGAGATATGACGTAATTTTTGTAAAAAAAATAAAAATTGACTTCTAATTAATCATTTCACATTTGTAAGGGCCTCATGCTGGATTTTTTTGGAGTCATGACGCGATTATCAGTAGTTTGTGACTCCTGAAGTTAGCCAATGTTCAGAGCTATCCTGGTACGTGTTTCTTATCTGAATCATCCCCAGGTTTAAAGGGCTGTTTGTGAAGTACTTACATTTCGCATTCGGCAGACAGAAGAATCGTGATATTCCAGTTAATCGACTCGCTTCTTTTTATACGCAAAATCAGAAAAGTCGATTGATGGGATATCAATAGATGTTTGCTTTTCCTTTCCGAAATTTTTACGCACCTGAACCCGCCGGCGTCAAATAATCGATTTGCCTCGAAACTGACTTCGAGTAGACTGACTGACATCCTTAATTATTATTATTATTATTATTTTAGCCACAAAAGTCGTTATTTCAGAAGGGTGTGCAAATAAATAAAATCTTTATTCATTAAATTCATAAATATCTAAACAGAACCCTTTTACTAACTGAAAAGCCTCATATCGACACAACTGTAAATTGCTGCAAATCCGCTTATTGACCAGTATTATATCTAAACTTTAAGATAACCTCTGCTGGTAAGTATGTGTCCAGGTCTTAAGTGGACATCTTTGTCTATTAACTGAAACCTTGAACTCGTATTTACTCATTATGACTTTTAATTATTTCGAAATAGATTTTTGAAACTCGATGAACTGGTGGGACAGTTATAAATACCTCTATATTCTAACTCCATAGCTGGTTGATGGGCGAATTTGGTTTATTCTATCAGATTGCATTCTGGAATGTAAATGAGCTACTGCGTTTGTAGCAATGATGCAGCTTGACTGCAGTATCTTTACGACCACGGCAGGTAACCTTTAAGACTTGGTTGTCGTAGGTTGTCTGCTTAGTTGCATTGATTCTTGGTTAACACATGCATGCAGGAGTTTTTGCTCGAGCTAAAACAAATCTTATGGGACTACTTTAACGTGGCCTATTGCTTGGACTGTACTCATGATGCTTAGTAAAGCCAAGAAATAAAATCACCCCACACCGACTGTCCCACTAAAATTCAGACATGAGTCACCAATAGCTTCAGAGTTCGAATTAAGTGCTAAGAGCGCGGTACTGGGTTGAAATTACAGGCGGATGTAATTACATTGAACAATTCGAACGATAAATCTATTGTCCCATATTTCAAATAGTCCCGACTGCAAAGTGGTACAGTTACTACGGGAGGCAGTCGTTGCAAGCCTGTTTGCATGGCGCGTGGACATTGTTGTAAAAGGCCACATGGGTGCATTTTAAGCTTACTCGTCCAGTGCAAATGACAGAAGTAGAAACACGTTTTCTCAAAATGAAGTAGTTTAAGTGAGTAGGCAACGGTTTTTAAAAAAAACTCATTTTCACTCGGAGTGGGTTTGAAGAAGACAAATTACCAACTGAGATGCGAGTCACTCATGTAGAAATGTAGAAAAAGATAGAGCTGCTGTTTGTCCTACAAAGTAATCATGCTGCAGATTGCATCAGCCGCTTAAACTGATAAAGGTGGGTACAAGATTGAGGTACAGGAGGTCTATTTCCTCAACCATTTTAAAGAAATACAAAAATCCATTTTCAGTAGTCTTACTTTACGAAATTCAAAGCCTATGATGAAATGACGCAAAACTAATGGTTTTTTTTAAGAAACTGGAGTTTTTGGCAGCATTCAGGGAACCACATTTATTCGAACCATTTCCTAAGTATGCATGTGTGCATACGACATTGCCCGTCTGCGATTTTACATCTCAATTTTATGACTCCTGTGCTCAACGCTGCCCAGACAAGCATGACATAGCTGCAAACGTGATTTTTTTTGTTTTTCTGAATGTGTTGACACTCTTGAACAGATGTTGGCACGTTTTAGCTGTAAATAACCCGATGGAATCACACCTACCTCCATTAAAAGAAATCTTTTTGAAACATAAATGCTGCCACTTCTACATTAATGAACTAATGCATGAACTCTAATTCCAAAAATGCAGTGGATAAAATTGCGTCTTCAATTGAAATTGCATAATTACCTTGTATAAATCAGCCTTATTTTTTTGTCATATTTTGGGAGCTAATGTTGGAACGCAAAACTACTGCTCCTCACCAATCCACTTCATAAAAATGCATCAAAAAAGACTTACTGACTTATAGGGCATAGTTTCTTAAACCTTGGACTACTCTACCTAGTTGAGAAGCCTATCTGAATAACCCAATTCGCTTCTGTATCTCCTGATTTGTATTAACTACATCTAAACAAGGGTAAGAATGCGATTTCTTTGAGAATAGTTTGACCAGGCACGTGAAATCATAACATATCTTGTGCGGACTTAAGTTTGTTGATGTCATTAAGTATTCACGAAATATGGGCCAACATGGACCTTAGTCATTCATTGGGCATGAAGCACACAGATGTGTAGTGCAGAAATTTATGACACGTAATATGCATCTAATTAAATTTTAAAGCGAATCGGATTGTCAAATCTAGTTTGCCCAGCAAGTAATCTCTTTTTAAATTCATATTTGGTAGAAAACCTGCAGTTATTATAATAACTTTCAATTTAAGTTCAAAGCAAAATATTATTGAGGGATTCCACTGACTTGAATTGAAAGAAGCAACATTATATTTGTGCTACACCAAAAGCCACAAAAATTCCACACCTAAATTGGGTAGCCAAGCCAGTATTTGCAAAATTTACGAAAAAGCATTAATATCTAAATAACCTTTCCAGTTACATGCGCTGTGATTTCATTAGTTCTTAAAATCGTAGTAAAAGTTCGAAAGGGTCTTAGCAAGACACCTGTCGTGCATTTATAGGGTAAATTTCAAGTAATTTTTGAAAAGATAAAACTTTTGCTGTTAAATTAAAATCTTTATTTGACTTGGTAGGCCGAAGTTAGATATGTTATAATCATAAAGTTACTTAAATTTTCAGAGAATAATGGACATTCACTTATCTTCAAATTTTAAACGCAGAAACTCTAAAGACACCTTTTTTTGAAGATGGAGGTCGATTAATTTGCGTAAGACAAATGTGTCTCGAGTGATCCGCCGAAATCTGATAGCTGAAGTCTACAAAATTAAGTACTTGGTTCATGGCCAATTGCGTAGTCCAGTGTAATAGCATCAACGTCATTCTGATGGTCACTTTCAGTTGTTTTAGAGGTTTAGGCAGTCAGATGCGTTTAGAGTTGATGGAAAAAATTAATACATTTAGTAAAGTATGGTCAACCGCTGATAATTCACATCAGCCTTGTAGAAATTAATATCCCCACTGGTTTAATCTTTCATAATAATTTTGACAAAAAGTTATTTTTGTTATTCAAGACCATGAATCAACATCGCGTTAAAAGAACAGTAGGCTATTCACGTGATCTTAAACTAAAGGTGACTTTCCAAGATTTATTCTCATTACAAAAATGGCCATTGTCCGTTCTCTATTTCAGTTAACTAAGGAGGTCTGCACCAAATTTTATTCTTAACTAAATTAATAAGTTCAGATTACCATTTTTTTGTCATCGCAATGGAGGAATGAACTATTCTTGCAGAGCTAATATTGAGCTACAATTTGTACCCCCGAAATTTTTAACTTTGGCAATAATCAGGCCTAAACGAGCGACTTGGATAAGGAATGAAAAAGGGCCACTGTTATATACACTACGATGGTGTGACTGATAGCACTGAGGTGACTTGGACATGAAACTTCATCTGTGGTACAATTAGGGCCCAATTAGATTTCTGACTGGGACTCACTACGTTGATATTATTTCGAAAAAAAATGCCTGGCATGCTGCCGCCACATTTACCATCAACGGTCACTTCAAGAATTACAGAAATGATAACCCAAAATTTACCACAAAATATATATGGAACTGAACACTGCGCAGTTATTATCATGAGACCGAGTCTGAAACGTGAAAAAATTATTCTGTTCAAATTATATCCGGAGAAATCTAAACTTGGTACAAATTACAATGACACCAAGTCGGTTTTATCAATTAATTTTCTGCTTACTTCATTTTGTTATAAATTTTTAGATGCTTGCATTGTACTCTAGGCTCGTTTTACTTTTTTTCATTCGCCTTTTACATAAAAAAAGCCCACTTCAAGAATTTCTTTGTAAATCGTGCTTAATCTTTCGGTGCGGGTTAGCTGTATGATTAATTCACACCATTCAGGGTACATTGTCTGCCGTCTTTTGTCACCACCCAGCATAGATTCAGGCTAGATTCTTTTAGGCAATGTTTATTGGTGCAGATATTTTTAGCTTACTTGTGAAAGAAAACATATGTTTTAAGGGATAAGGTGGGACGAACCCCAGGATATCGACGTTTTCGCTGATACTGCACTCATACTGTATTGGCTTCTGTATTAAACAAAGACGCACATTGACAGGGTCTCATATAATGGCATTGGAAATCTCCGCATTGTACAAAGTCGCAAAAATACACGTTTTTTTTAAATTTAGAGGTCATAAATTACAATGAGGCGAAGTACGATTTGCAATTTTAAATGGCTACAATTATGCAGAATGCATTTTAAACACTTTATTAAGCTAAGTTTGTTGTAATTTATTGTTTATTAGTTAACAGAGATTGCAAATTAGTCTATTAATTAAACTGGGAGTTGCTTAATTCATTTACACCTACTGATCTCAAGCTAGGGTGACATTTAGTTAATCTTACTTCCAGTAATGATTCCAACAACAGGCCAAAATTGTTTCAACAATTTTCATACAATGACTTAGCGTCCAATCGCTGAAACC